AATAGAGAGGTTTAGCATGACGTTCACGGCAAACGCCAAACGGCAGAAAAGATCACGTGACCTGCTTTTTTTGAGTTTAACGTTGCAGTTTCAACGCGAGAGCGGGTTATTTTGAGGTTGCCATAATCGTGAAAAGCCGCTCTTTCAAATGACTACCAAAAGCACAAGGTCGGGCACGAAATTCTTAGGTCATTGGTTCAGCTCTGCCGTTAGCCGTTTGCCGTCAACGTGATGCTAAAACTCTCTATTAGATAACTGTTCTTCTACGAACTTTTTCCTGGGAAAGGGATTTTGAGCTACTAACATTAAAAAATGTGACGCCCTTCCTTCTTTAAAATAATTTTGTTCCTGGCAAACGTTTTTATAAGGGCAAAAAAGGATTATATAACGTTTTTATGGTCAAAAACAGGTTATACTTTCTTAGTTTGGAAATTTTCCTGCCAAAAATTCTTAGAAAGTATTTCTTGCCTGGATAACTCCTTTTTCCTGAATTTCTCGCTGGCAACCAGTTGTGACTTATAGCTGGCTGGGACATAAGAACAGATATATTTCTCCCAGGATCCCGTCGGCTCCTTCTATCTCTTTAAATTCTCACAATGAAGCAAAATCGCCATTGAACTTTATTCATATTTGATGCATGACTGATCACAACTAAAAGAAAAATGTGAACTCGATGATTTTTAATATTACTTTATTATGATGATGTTTTATTTCAGGTAAAGGAAACAGCAAAGAAAGTTGCAAAGGAGATTGAAAAACTCAAAAAAGAAAAATCAAATGATATTTCCGAGAATTTACAGAATGACTTAAGTATGTATGCACTTTGATCTCGTACATGTTATTAGATATATATCCAAAACAAAGAATGGTTTGACACCAGAATACCTTATATTAAGCACGATGGTCGATCAATTCAGATTCCTAGAAAACATCGGTTCTCACGAACCCTTGGAAACCCGCTTTTTGATTGTTCCGCTAGTGCAGATTCTTAATTATTAAGTTAAGTTTCCTTTTAGTATTGGAAGAGAATCTTATGTTTGTCTCTTGTTTTCTAATCCAATCACGAAATTATCTTTGAAATGTTAGTGACGATGCGAAAGACATTTGTAAGCATTTATTAAGCTCGACATCCAGAAACTCGCATAATCTGCCACTGAGACATCTAGAAAAGTCGCATACAACGGTTCGAAACTATGAAAGGACAATATATTAATTTGTAGAAAAACGTAGAAATCTTTAAAAATGTATCTAACATACTATGATCATTAACTTCAAGAATCTCATTTCAGCTCCTCCAACTCAGCTAATAACCGAAGTAAAAGACAAGCTGAAAGGCTTCACTGGGCCATTAGCGACGCAAGTTAAAACTAAGGTCGGCGAACTGAATACAAAATGGAAAACTATGYCAGAAACCGACAGGAAGGGCGTTGCAGCTACTCTCGGTGTTGTTGCTTCAAATATTGAGAAATTTGGCGATGCCGGAAGTAATCCCATTGTGTGTCGTTCAAGGAGCCATAAACATCGTTGGTGCAATATCTACGTTTTTTGGTCCAGCTGGTCAGTTGGTAAGCATTGGTTTGAGCTTCGTTTCTGGTCTGTTGGGATTGTTTGGTCAAGGTCCAAAGCCGAAACCACTGGGGGAAATCGTGAGAGAACAAATTGATGAGGCATTGGCGAAATATCGTGAAGAGACCCTGACTGACAAAGCAA